GCAAATCTGGCCCAACATCATAAACCGGGCTATTTCTCTTTCCCCTTTTATTTATTTTTTTTTTCTTTTTTTTTCAATTTCAAAACAAATTAATTCCCTTTTTCTTTTCCTTTTCAAAAATTAATGAAAATGGAAATTAATTCCTAAAATTCAACTAATCCTAAAACTAATTAAACACATATGATGATTATCACAAAACAAACTTAAAAGAAACCCCATTCAAGATCAAGATCAAAAATTAAAAATGCAACTTAAACAAATATTTTTTGCTTTTCCATTTTATGAAACAATTACTTTCTTAATTAATCTTATGATGTAGAATCAAAACCCTAAGTGCACAGGTCCAATACATTTTTTTTTTTGTATTTTTATGAATTAAAATGTGTAAACAAAATACCAACAATTAACATCAAATGCCACAAAAATTCACGCAATTGCAAATAATGAAAGGAAATTATTTTGTTTGAATCTCTGGGAGTAATTCGTATAGGGCAAAAATCACGTGCTCACAGTTGTGATTGGGGATCTTGAGACTCGTGTAGATTTGTTGCTTCTAGACATGGTTGATTTTGATGTCATACTGGGGATGGACTGATTATCACCTTACCACGCTATCTTGGACTGTCATGCCAAGACTGTGACCTTAGCCTTGCTGGTTTTACCTCGTTTAGAGTGGAGAGGGACTCCTAGTCATTCTACCCGTAGTGTTATCTCTTATGTGAAGGCTCGAAGTATGGTCGAGAAGGGGTGTTTGTCCTATTTGGCATATCTTCGTGATTCTAGTGCCGAGGTTTCTTCTATTGATTCTGTGCCTGTTGTTCGTGAGTTCCCTGAGGTATTTCCTTCAGACCTGCCGGGTATGCCACCCGACAAGGATATTGACTTCCGCATTGATTTGGCACCGGGCACTCAGCCCATTTCTATTCCGTCGTACCGTATGGCCCTGCCTGAGTTGAAAGAGTTGAAGGAGAAGTTGCAAGACTTGCTTGAAAAGGGTTTCACTAGACCCAGTGTTTCGCCTTGGGGTGCGTCGGTGTTGTTTGTTAAGAAGAAGAATGGATCGATGGGAATGTGTATAGATTACCAGCAATTGAACAAGGTTACAATCAAGAATAAGTATCTGCTACCGAGGATTGATGATTTGTTTGATCAACTTCAGGATTCCAAGGTATTTTCAAAGATTGACTTGAGATCTGGCTACCATCAGTTGAGTATTAGGGCATCCGATGTCCCTAAGACAGCTTTTCGCACTCGGTACGGGCATTATGAGTTCTTGGTGATGTCATTCGGGTTGACAAATGCCCCAGCAACTTTTATGGATTTGATGAACCGAGTGTTCAGGCCTTACTTGGATTCGTTCGTGATAGTCTTTATTGATGATATTCTGATTTATTCCCGCGGCCGGGAGAAGCACGAGCAGCATCTTAGAGTGGTTCTTCAGACTCTGAGGGATAGTCAGTTGTATGCCAAGTTTTAGAAGTGTGAGTTCTGGTTGAGTTCAGTTGTATTCCTGGGTCATGTTGTATCAGCAGAGGGTATTCAGGTTGATCCGAAAAAGATTGAGGCGGTCAAGAACTGGCCTAGACCAGCATCAGCTATAGAGATCCGAAGTTTCTTAAGATTGGCAGGCTACTATCGTCGGTTCGTGGAGGGGTTTTCGTCTATTGCAACCCCGATGACCAGGTTGACCCAGAAGGGTGCCCAGTTCAGATGGTCAGACGAGTGTGAGGCGAGCTTCCAGAAGCTCAAGACAGCTCTGACTACGGCACCAGTGTTGGTTTTGCCCACAGGTTCAGGGCCTTATACAGTTTATTGTGACGCATCTCGTATTGGACTTGGTGTAGTGTTGATGCAGGATGGCGAGGTCATTGCTGATGCTTCCCGGCAGTTGAAGATTCATGAGAAGAACAATCCGGTTCAAGATTTGGAGTTAGCAGCCATTGTTGACGCGTTGAAGATTTGGAGGCATTATCTATATGGCGTGGCATGTGAAGTGTTCACCGATCACAAGAGTCTGCAGTATTTGTTCAAGCAAAAGGAGTTGAATTTGAGGCAGATGAGGTGGTTGGAGCTGTTGAAAGACTATGATGTCACCATCTTATATCATCCAGGAAAGGCCAATGTGGTGGCCGATGCTTTGAGTAGGAAATCGGTTAGTATGGGCAGTCTTGCTTATATTCTGGTCGGTGAGAGACCGCTTGCTTTGGATGTTCAGGCTTTGGCCAATCAGTTCGTGAGGTTGGATGTTTCTGAGCCCAACCGTGTCTTAGCTTGCACAGTCGCTCGTTCTTCATTATTAGAGCGTATCCGAAATCGGCAGTATGGTGATCCCCATTTGTGTGTCCTTAGAGACATGGTGCAGCACGGAGGTGCCAAGCAGCTTACCTTAGGTGATGATGGAGTTTTGAGATTGCAGGGTCGAGTTTGTATGCCTAATGTGGATGGGCTCCTGGAGTTGATTTTAGAGGAGGCCCATAGTTCCCGGTACTCTATTCATCCAGGCGCCGCCAAGATGTACCAGGATTTGCGGCAGCATTATTGGTGGAGGATAATGAAGAAGGACATTGTTGCATATGTGGCTCGGTGTTTGAATTGTCAGCAGGTTAAGTACAAGCATCAGAGGCCTAGTGGTTTGTTCCAGAAGATTGAGATTCCTGAGTGGAAGTGGGAGCATATCACTATGGACTTCGTTGTTGGACTCCCACGGACTCAGAGGAAGTTCGATGCAGTGTGGGTTATTGTTGATAGATTGACCAAGTTAGCACATTTCATTCCTATGGCAGTCTCTTATTCTTCCGAGAGGTTACTGAGATCTACATTTGGGAGATTGTTCATCTTCATGGTGTGCCCGTGTCTATCATTTCGGATCGAGGTACGCAGTTTACCTCACATTTCTGGAAGGCAGTTCAGCGAGAGTTGGGCACACGGGTTGAGTTGAGCATAGTGTTTCATCCTCAGACGGACGGGCAGTCCAAGCGGACCATTCAGATTTTGGAGGATATGCTCCGAGCTTGTGTCATTGACTTTGGAGGCTTGTGGGATCAATTCTTGCCTTTAGCAGAGTTGCCTACAACAACAGCTAGGGGTGTCAGTGGATATTCGAAAACTGACTAAACCGACCGAACCGTACCGCACCGAACCAATTTTTAGGTTTCTTTTTAAGAAACCGTAGGTTTTTATATAAATCTATAACCGCACCGATAATTAGGGTAGGTTTTTTATTTTATAAAAATAAACCGAAAAAATACCAAACCGTACCGAATAAATTTTACATGTGAAAAATATATTTATTTAGTAAGTTTAAAAATAATAATGCATTAAATTTTCTTTGGGCCTCGAAATTATGAAAACTATTACAAGCCTACAATTAATTAAACTCAAAATACTAATTCTTAAAACCTATTATGCCACTTCTACTTAAACTAAGTTATTTCAAGTATCTTTATTAGCAAGACACACAGTATTCTAGCGATTATGAGTAGCAAACTACAATGTATTGAATATGTTTCCTTTCATATAATTTAGATTTATCTTTTTGAATATTTAATCTTCTATAGACTTTATTCTTGAGTCCCAGCTTGTTATATCTTTCAACTCGTGTGATTTATATTTTCTTTGCCTTTATTTGATTTATTTTACATTGTTGTAGAATAGTTGATGAATCTATACTCTAGCCATCTTTCTTTTTTCTTTTTTAATTCATCACCCTTTAAACGGTAAAAATATCTAGAGAGATTTGCTAAGTCCTCTAAAAGAACGTATGTTATTGCGTTCATTTTACTTCTACTGGTGAATTTGACATGATATTAAAAAAATAATCGAAAATTAACCGAACTGTACCGGTACCGAAGAGAAGCCGACATGATTGGGACGGTTTCGAAAAGTCTAATTTTGATTATACATAATAGAATAACCGAAAAATTGGTATGGTACAAATTTTATAAAATAACCGACCGAACCGAACCATTGACACCCCTAACAACAGCTACCATTGTAGTAAACAAGTACCAAGGGAAGGTGGGGTATAAAGATAATTACTCCTTCCATTTCAATTTATGTAAATTTACTTGACTGCGCCGGAGTATAAAAATGAAAAGTAGACTTTTAAAATTGTAATCTTAAATATGGCTGTATTGCTGATATAGTGTAATATGGCTATCACCCTTCAAAGTCTATATCCCACTAATTAGGGGTACATGTCAATCAATAACATTAACTACTCCGATATATAGCGTAAAAAATATCCAATTTCCATCCTTATCATTTATGATATTCATATTATTAATTTGGTCCTTTTTCTCTCTCCCATAAACAAAAATTTGACGTAATCTAATCTCCTTCTCTATACTTTCATGATTCATCTTCTTATTAGGCTAAAGCGAGGGGGTCTATTTTTCGATAAATGTTGCTACATAACGTAAGATTCTTTCGATCATCATATGGTAAGTAGTATTAGTTTTGTGCTATAATATGTAATGTTTTGTTTATCATTGCATAGTTGTGAAAATTTGCTAATATTTTGAGCTCATAAGGTAATATACAGTTACAAGGTTGTATATAATGTGCAGTCCAACAACGAGATTTTGTTAGAAATTATGTACTTTGCGCATATACTGTGTGTATGTTGTTTGCTTTTATTAAAAGGTTCTCCCAAATTAAAAGTAATCTCCTAAGATTTATAATTAAATGTCTCTATGACACCTCATATTTTTATATGTAGATACTGTAATTTCAAAATTTACTGTTCGACTAAATTAAAAACACAAGTTTTGTGCAATATAAATAGGGCTAATGTGACGTAGGTTTTCTTTTCTAATACCCTTCGTCTTGGTGTGAAAGACTAATAATCGCAAGACCTAGGATTTCATTGTCTCTCATGGATTCAGGTACACTTCCACATGATTTGACAAGATCATGATTTTCATCTTAAAGATTTGGTCCAACATTGACTGCATTTTTTAAAATAACCAGATTTTTTTAAAAAGTCATTTAGGAAAAAATAAGAACCCAAGAAAAAGCAATATATACACTAAATTGTCAATACATATTTTACTTGTTAGAAACTTCTTTGTTCCTCAAGTTCAATAATTTGTGCAATATAGAAGGTGACACAGCCATGACTTTTTGGTTATGTTCTTTTGCATGAAGCTCAGCATGAAGTCTACAAAGAGCTGAACCTGCAACTTTCCATGCAAAACCACATTTTTTTACGTCTCCGATAGCCTTTGCATAATCATAAGTAACGCGATAAATAGCAAGTGCATCGTTAAATATATCTGTTGTACTCCTTGCACTCTCCTCCATATCCGGTGCTTCATATAGCAACTACATGAAAAATTGCAAAATTCAAGATATTATATTGGGGAATCACAGGAGATAATGGAGAAATAGGGACAGTGAGAATTGAACTCATAGTTATTGTACTGAAAACTCCCACCGAAACCTTCGTGGTACTCATGGTGGCTTCTTACAAGGGAAAAGGTGCAAATTTACCACTATACTATACGAAATATCTAATTCTACCCTAATACTTTGGAGTCTTGCCTTTAACGGAGCTCCAACATGAACTGAGTTAGCCTCGATTATACTTTAGTTAGGATCCATGATGGAGATCCATTAGGGCCAAGGGACAATGTGAGAATATGATAACGCCAAGGGTATGAATGACCACCGAAGTATAACGGAAGGTAACATTAAGAGATATTTCAAATAGTAGAAGGTATTTTTCACCTTTTTCCCCTTCTCATAATGATGGTTGAAGTTAATTTCTTAAGATTAATAGAAGAAGGTTTACCTGTTTGTATTTTTTAACAACCTCGTCCGCTAAGTCATTTTTTGATTCATTGCTGGTGTTCAACGCTTGAATCATCTCAAATCTGTACTTTTTGTACCTTTCCTCCCATAACCTCAAGCATGTCTCAGGGATTTTGACCTCAAAAGCAGGAATTTTCTTGATTTCTGGACATATAGAGCAAGATATATCACATCCACAACTAAAATACAATTGAAATCAATGAATATCTTGGATCAAACACTTGCCTACTGCAGCTGCTGCTTCAGCTTTAAATGACTTAACCCTGTCATAAATTTCTCCTAGAACTGAAGTAGAGATATACTCTTCTTTCTTTTCCAAGAAATGTGGAAACTTATCCACTTTCAACCTTTTCGGGATGTAGACCTGTGGGTAGAAATTAAGATTTAGGGAACAGGAAACACTCACTTAAATAGCGTATGGTGATTAAGTAAACGATGGTTAATAAGGATATCAAACAGAGATCAGGTCAAAGCAACCAACCTTATTCCCACTTTTGGGGGCGTCTATAGCGTCGTAATACAAATCAGTCAACTCAAACAACTTTTCTTTCATGGTCTTTGTCTCTTCATTCTCTGTGGTGTTATTCTTCCTCAATATCAGAAGTCTATCCATGAGCGCCAACCAGCTAGAAGAAGCGTCAGCCATACTATAGCTGAAAGAGCATTTTTGTTTAAATAAGAATTAAAACATCTTCACAATAGGAATTAGGAAGTTTTTTCATTGATGTTGAAAAGGACCATATTTTGAGGAAATTCCAATGATTTAAAGGTTTAGAATCATTAGCTCGGGGACTTTTTGGGTATGGGCAACTTTTACCATTCAGACATACTGAAACTGTATGTTGCACTCTTCATGGAGCCGAGAAGACATGTTTCAGATAATATTTGTTGAAGTGTGTGACCATCTAATCTAAAAGCTTAAGCTATTAGAGAGCACACTTTTATTTTTTTTATTTTTTTGATTTGCACCGGGTGTCCGAGTCTCTAAGAGCCCCGACTAATCCCGGGGGTGCACAGGCCCTCGGCAAGGAGTTTCCCGCAAGTGCACCACGGTTAATTCAGGTTTTACCCAGTCCGATGGCCCTCAGAAATTGTTTGCACCTAGTGGGTTTCGAACTTGAGACCTTGAAAGGGAGCAAACCCCAAGGCTCAAGTCTATTGCCACCAGGCCAACCCCTGAGGGTAGAGAGCACACTTTTATTTACTCAATTATGTCTTCAACATGCCCCTTCACGTGCGGGCTTTGTTTCTTTTTTATGAGCCAAGCACGTGAAAATTATTTTTGATATTGAGTGGCGGTGAGACTCGAACCCAGGACCTCTGCCTGCTCTAATACCATATTGAAGTGTGTGACCATCTCATCTAAAAGCTTAAGCTATGAGAGAGAACACACTTTTATTTACTTAATTATGTCTTTAACAATATCAAAGAGACATATTATAATTTTGGAGGGCAAAAAAAAAAGGGAATTCTAGACTGAGGTGATACAATAATACATACTTTGGCATCCTAGTTTCTAGGAATGTCTGAAAGAGCTCATGTTCCATTTCCTCGGCAGAGAAGTCTTTAGGCTCCCTATGCAATGTCTTTGGTGTTGAATGGATTCTGCTCCACGGTCTACTTGCACGGTAATATTTCAACAGCTGAAGAATAAAACATAATATGCTCAAATTGGAAGGAATTCATCGAGGATTTTCAATCATTCAAGAAATGAAACGACAACACGATATGTTCTATTTTGTTTTTAAAATTTATTGTTTTCTCATTATCATTTCTAATTGGACATGTAGAGTGAAATGAAGGACGCAATCTGAGACAGTTCAATTATATCATTAAGCAAAGAAATTAGAACAATTAGCCAGCAGTAATGAAAAGTTTACCTGGGGGTTTTGAGAGACCCAATATTTATCTCCATCAAAATCGCCATTAGCAATTTCAGTGGCTGCAGATCTTGGACCTTTGGTCGAGAAAAATATTCCATATTTAGCATTTCCAACTACGTCACCGAGGTTCTTCACTGGGACAGCAAGTAGTCTGTGGATATCACCAAAATGAAGTCCGGGATTCCTGTATACTAGTACCTCTCCAGATATCTGCCCGTGTTCACTGCATAAAATTGTTGAGTTTTACTTTGTAAGTTTCCAGTTTGACTTTTTAAAAGTAAAGGCATAGCATCCAAAGATGACACAAGTTACAAACATACATGTGCTGAAATTACTAGGTCAAAATAATTATTAGGTTAGTTAAACTTTTACTCAAGACTAATAAGAAAATATGGATTGATGAGACGTTCCGACGATCAATGGCTAAGTTGACGACGATACAGAAAGAGCCCAGTGTATCTTTGACTAAAGTGCAAATCCGTGGTGCATGGTAAAAGCACCTAGCCAGTGGCAAAGCCAGGAATTCTAATAAGGGGAGTCAAAATAATGCAAAAATGCATGCCTAGGGCTCGAACCTGAAATAAAGCAATTTTTTAGCCACATTTACCACTAGAATAGAATCTTTCCATTATATCAAGGGGATTCAACTACTCCCTCCCAATTTATATGGAACCTTAGGATTTCGAGAGTCAAACGAGTTCCCCTTTGACCGTGATTTTTTCATCTCTTTTAAATACTTTGAATGATTAATTTTTCTGGCTTATAATACTTTTTTTGTAGTTTCTAAATATGTAAATTTTCAAAAAACTTAAAGATTCTATATCCGAATTCACGGTCAAAATTAAGAAAGTTGACTCTCGAAATCCGAATGATGTCGCATAAATTGGGACATAGGGTATGTGTTTGTGTGCGTACAAATACTTTTACTTTCCGTATGTGCACGGTATACTTTTGACGAGGAATTGGATTACAAGGGTCATATATGATGCATTTAAAGTAAACTTACAGAATAACACAGACTTCATGAGGATTTAATGTATCCGTCGGATCAGCTGTCCCCATTAAATAGAAAGTATCAGAGATAGGAAGTTTTCCTCCTTTTAGCCCATTTCTTTCTTCCTTTGCCAAGGAAGATAAGCAACACCTAAGATACGGTTCACAGAGAGGTACTCCAGCCATTATCATACCCGTGGCAATAGAGGCATCATCACGATCTCTATGGTTCGCTGCAACTGCACGGAGATATAACCAATAAAACAAAAAAAGTAAAGGTCTGATTTGGTAAAGCAATCAACAGATACTTAGAACAGAGTCATGCATTTTAAGATCAATGCAGGTAAAGGAATACTACGATTAAAGCTTCTGTATCAAATCGGAAAGAAGGCTTCAGACAATGTTTATTTAAAACCAGTACAGGCACCAGCTTGTTAATTGTGCAAATAAGCATGTAATGTTTTCAAGACATCATTTGAAAGTTTGAGAACCAAAATGTTACCGCATGCTGAAATTTAAGCAAGACTACGCATAAGTTTAAAGTTGTCGGGTAATAGTATCTGAAGGTCCACATTTCTCCTTATACGTGGTAGGTTATAAACCATAAACAATTGCAAAGAGACTTAGTTTTATTGTAATTTTTTTCTGAACCAAGAATTACCTTTTAGTGCTGTCACCTCATCTGAGTATAACCTTTGTGTCTCCTCCAAAGTGATATTCAGTATATCAAAGAAATACTCTGCAGGAACACCTCCATAGGTCAACAGAGCAATAAGAGTTCTTGATAGATAAGTATTCCGAGGTTTAAAACTGAAAGAAGAACATAAATGGTGTTAGTTGCACACAGTCATGAAAGTAGCATTTTAAATTTCATGTTCCGACGAAGATTCCTACGGTGAAACTTTATCTTTCTACTAATTGAATTGACTAAAAAGCACAAAATACCTAGGTGTAACTATTTCCAGCGAGTTAAACATTCGAGCTCTTGACAATTTTGGGTCAGCCTCAACCTTGATCATTGAAGGCCTAATCTGAATTGTGCGCCGTGGCAGCTAATATTTAAGAACAGAACATTGCATCTATTAAGAAGTTGATTTGGCAAACTAAATACATGATAGAGTAAAGTCTGCTATAATATTGCCATGCAATAAGCCCATTAAAATGGAACAGACTATGGTTTTGATCAACGGTGCCTTGAGGAAGAGCTTACCTTTCTATTGACTAGAAGGGTTCCCTTTACAGCAAGACCATTGTAGAATAGACGGCACTGCATTAACAAAGGCTAGAAAGAGAGAGAGAGAGACATGAAAACTGAACAGATAAGAAACAAGGGGAGCTTGTTTAGTGATAACAGATTGCTAATTTGCAGCAGTTTGGAATCCAAATCAATTGATAAAACATCAAAAACATTTACCAGTTCCCCACTCTGAAATTCTGCCTCTCCCACCTTGGATGAATTCTCCCCAGGTTCAACACCATTGGGATATCTCTGAAATAGTTAATTCAAAATTTAATAGAAAGTTGTTCAAGAGAGACAAAAGGAAATTGTTGCAAAGAAACGGAACGATGAATTTGTCAGATATTTAAATCAATACAAGCATGAAGCAAACCGAGCAAGAGACCGTTTCGTGTGCATTGCCTAAAATTAAAGAACATTAAGGAAATAACATAATTTCAAATGAATTAAAAAGGAAATCAAAGTCTGCAATCCGAACACATCCTTCCAAGTTTCTGCTACAAAAGAAAATGCTTAGTGAACTAGGTTTAATCAGATTACCTCTAACTTGGCATTCTTATACTTCACATTGAAAAAATCTTGTGGACACTTTCTTGCCAAATCTTCCGAAATATATCCTGTCCCATCTGTGTGTATAAGGGGTTTTCCATCTTCGTCATAGAGAGTACGTCCATTCTTGTCCTGAAATTATTTATTTCCAAAAATAGAAGGCGATATTTAAATAATAAAATGAGTGTATTATCTTGAGATAGTCGAAGAACAGGATAACTGACAAGAGATGGCATCGAAGCGCACAAAGAAAACGAAATAGCAATGAAAGTATACATAATTATATATACACATATATTATATGTTTGATAAGCAATATACATGACAATATATATCTTCAATTCTGTCAATATTCACTGAATTCAGATCAACTTGAAGCTTTACTGTCGTGGATAAAATTAGGGAGAACCTGCATTATCAGAGTAACTATGTAGCTCAGAATGAAAGCAAGTATCCATTAATTATTGAAAAGTTATAACAGTCGGGGAAATAGCAAACCTGGCCATGTATTTAGCCATGCTAGAGACCATATGTACATGCATGAAACGACACCTTGCTTTGTGGACTATCTTGTCGTGCAAAATGTAAGTTAAATTTTCATAAGGATTAAGAGATTCCATTCGAACAAAGTAGCATTTGACTGTATCGATCTTTTCCTCTTTGTCCATTGAATTTTTCTTCTTCCCATCATCCTTATAAACTGCAGAAGTACCACAATGACACAAAACCTCATTGGCATCATAAACACTTGAAAACAATAATCTCTCAGGGATTTCCCACCCCGATTTTGAGCATACTAGTGAGAATGACACTTCCATTTATTGGGAATATGAGAAGCTTCATTAAAAAAGCTACTTGTGAAAACAGAAGATCCACATTGACATAGGCCAATGCAAAGGTTCTAAGACGAGGATTTCTTTTAATTACAAGTGATTGTAGATAAATAAGCAAAAAAATTGCTCTTTCAGTACAACACTTTCATGTTTGAAGACCACCGATGTTAGATGGGAGCAAACGTTGGGCTTTAGAAGTTAGAACCAAACATATATATGTTGTAGAAACACGTGTTAAGATGGATCTACGATATTCAAGAAAAGACGAGATTATATATGACTACGGTGCAAGTATCACACAAAATATAAAACAAGAAGAGGTCAAGTAAGATTGTTTGGGGCATGTCTTAGGTAGACCTTCATATACACCGGTTTATAGAAGAAGTGACAATACGATAATTAAAGATGATAAAGACGATGAGATAGACCTAAAATCACATGTAGAGAAATTGTCTCAAAAGACCTACATACTCATAAAATTAAGCAAATTTAGCTTAGAACACAAGTTGACTGAAACAAACAATCCGCCTAGGCGATTCCAACCAGCTTGAATTAAGACTTAGTTATCAGTAGGTTCAGTGTTATTCAATCTATTTTCTACCTTATTACTTATATGTTAAGGTATGAATAAGTGTAATTAGAGAATCTTTAATTTTAGAAAGCACAAAATTAGCATCAAAGAGACAAATTTCCTCGGGAAAACATCTAACAAAGGGAAGTTTGAAATTCTTCTCATTTTTCAAAAAGCAAGATAGATTAGGCGGCATATAGATAAGGTAATTACCAAAAAAGCGATAGCGCCTCAAACCAACAAGAATTCCATTCTTAACAATCTCTTGTGGACACCTTGGGGCTTCTTCCATAAACCTGACAACCAATATATTTTCATCTCCTAATGACTGTTGTAGATGGGTTCTTTCTGCTTTCAGGTAAGGACCCTGACGCCAGGAAGGGAAATAAAAGGTCAAAAGATGGATATAATAGCTTAGCGGAATGTGAGATGCACTGTCCAAAGTTAACAAATACTGCCCTCTTTCCTTTTGCATTTAAAAACACTTCAAATGCAGAAGGAGTAATAACCGCGAGAAAAACTGACCTTAAAAGCATAGCTTCCATCCGAATAAACATGGCAATGATAGAAATGACTCCTTCCGGAATCCCAATCAAGATACTGGAAAACACATATATAACGCAATTATTGGATTACCAATTCTAGAGCTTGGAGATTATTATGCAAGTCTCTCATCAGTAAATACTAATGATAAAAATACATCAAAAGATAGAAACATAAACGCTCATGTAAAAGTTTTTAAATGCGGAAGAACAACATCAGTGGATTGGGACCAAGACCTTAAATCCGGACTCGGAAAAAAAAATAGATTCACTTATACAAGAGCGGTATTTGAATTGCAACATCACCTGCACCCGTTTAACGTTTTCACAAAGATGACCATATTTAGTCCAAATATATGACTCAAAATGAGCCATAGGTTGACATGTCATATCCAAAATTTCACCGACATCATGAAGCATAATGACATCCTCCAACTTCCTCCTGCAATCGATATCGACCAAAATACCAAATTGTAGTAGTATAAAAATCACAAATTAAATATTGAATAAATGCTAAGATTACCTTCCAATGTAGTGTAGAATCAAAAATAATTTCCTGAACTCAAGATTACTGAGTGCCAGCAACTGTTCGCTTATTCCTTGTATGCCAGCCCTGTTTCTATATTCAGATGGCATAGGATCATAACTATCTCTTTGAAAGTTTGCTCTTTCGGGACTCGTTGGAGGTGATAGCATTTGGGGAGCAGATGTTGGAGAATCAGATCCATCACCGACTATGTCTGCAGATAGCCAATGAAAAATTACAGCTCTTGAACGCAACGAATAGAAAATGTGTACGAGATTGTCATCAAGTATAACTCAAGATGTCCAGACAGTTTGCTACATGGAGGATTTTAGAGTTTGAAAAGTGGAGGGAGCATCCATGCAACAACAGCAAAAACAACAACATACCCAGTGTAATCTCACATTGTGGGGTCTAGGGAGGGTAAAGTGTACGCAAACCTTGCCCCTAACTTGGGGGTAGAGAGGCTGTTTCCGTAAGACCCTCGGCTCAAAAAAGACCCTCGGAGCATCCATGCAACACATACTAAAATATTGTAGTATTTGCACGGACTCTCCACAATGCCGCTGCACACGTGTCGGATCCTCCAATTTGGATCCTCCAAAAATACACTACATTTGAAGGAACCGACACGCACCCAACGGCATTTCGGAGAGTCCGAGCAACATACTAGCAGTGGACTAGTAGGGACTAGGGAAAGGAGTCCAGTTCAAACTTCAGACACCTAAACCAAATGGTAAGCTAGAATCCCCTCTATCATGTGAACATAGGTATAAAATTCATGTTCCATCAATACATACTTTAAAAAAAAGATATTAAAAATTCATTAGTACCAGTACAACAATTAGAATAAATTGATCAAGTAAATATGAAAACCGTAAGACCAACTTTACATTTAGATAAAAAAAGGGCCGCACCCCAAGGTAACCTTACATTTAGATAACTGAATAAACTGAAAAATAATTGTGAAAAATTTAATAATAAAATGGTATAAAAGAATATCAGCAAAAGAATTAAGTTGAAAGGCGTAAAAGAATTAAGTTGGAGGTCAAAGTGATAACAACAAAAGTTTCTTGGGTTTATTGTAAAAGAAAAAGATTAATTTTTTGTTTTACTTCTGTTGAAAAAGACAGTGTCTGGGATTATATTATTTTCCAAAATTAACTAAAAGTCATTATTATCAATATTTTTCAAAAAAAAAATATTTTAAAAACCCGAGCAACTAATGCCCTCGAATGCAAACTTGGACAAAAAAAGTAGAGTCACTCGTTCATCTCCATTATTTTACACCCACCCCCCCCCCCACCCACCCCAAGATAAGTTACCTACAAGGCTACAACAGACAAAAACTTGACAAATTTTTCAACATTTTGGGCAAAAAAAATACTTTTCTCCGCAAATCATATCAAAATAACATAATAAAACATGAAAAAAAATCAGTTTGTTGTTGTTCCCAACACAAAAGTAACCTAAAAAATAACTGCATGCAGTCCTCCATTAAAAAAAAATTAAGTAACAACTTAAAAAATAAGCGTAAGTGAGAAGCTAATAGAACAAAACAAAAAAAACTTACATGCAACAATCATAAGAAATTATCACTTAATTACAGTAATTAGTAGTAATAACTAAGTTTAGTAACAATTATATCACTTGAAAAAAGTGTAACTTAAAAAATAATACTACACATTTAGGGGGAAAAAAAGAAAGGGAACTTACCATTATTATGAACAGTAGCCTGAAAAAGTGGCCCATTTCTAGGAGAAAAATTTACTGAAGAAGAAGACGAATTTGGAGAAGAAAGAGAAATCCTTTGAATTTGCGGAGACTGGAAAAAACTTTCAGCAGATGAAACTGGAGTTTGCTGCTGCTGATAAAACTGTTTAGTTTCGGACTGATAATATTTTTTGGCTATAAATACAATAAATCCACTGAGTGTTTTTTTAATTTGATAAACTGAGATTTTACTCAAAATATCAAGTGAACCTTCTTCTCCGATTGATAAAAGAAGTCTTCGTACTGTTTCATCTGGTGAATTTTGTCTTTGATTTTTGCAGATTTGGTTTAACATTTGTTCTACTGAAGGTGGAAGTTTAATCGCTTCTTCTTCGACTTCTACTTCATTGTTGTATGAGTAAAAATCTCCCATTTTTTAGTTCCCTTTTGGACGAAAACTGAGATTTGGACAAAGAAATTGAGGGTTTAAATGAGTTTTTTTGAGGATTTATGGAATTTGGTTTGATGTTGGAAATTCAAAGTGACTTTTTCTTCTTTTTTTTTTCATCAACTTCAAAGTGACTTTACAGTGTACGAATTTGCAGTGTGCTGACTTTGATTTACAAGAAAGCAAATTGTTTGCTCAAAAGTTGTCGCATACCTTATGAGTATAAAATAATATAAATAAATCACGGGAAAATTATAGCAAATCGTAATAATTCATTGGACCAAATGAAGGAAACGAAAATAAGTACTCAGAGTTAGGAGGAGAAACATTAAGATTCTTTATTGATAATGTTGATTTGGCCTGCCTCTCCATGAAGAGGTTCAGAGCCTTACAAAGATGTTTTTCTCTCTCACAATATGGGTATAACTGTGTTTTTCTCTCTTTCTCCCGGATAGTGACCGAGAAGAAGCCCCTTTTTCTAGGGTTTCCTCCCTCGGTATTTATAGCTGTGAGCTTCGTGAGCTGGCAATAAGTGGTCGTGACCACGTTGGGATTTCGCCTTCATGGTGGCGGATGGGTCGTGGCCTTGTTGATCGAATCAGATGAGGGTTGAATATCGTTAATTCTGAGTGGTCGTGCCACTAATTAATCATGAATTAGCTTAAGACGGGATTAACTTCGTTAATTATCGTGGGGTCGGATTCTGACCCATACAGTTAATCCCTCCGCTTATTGAGGTCATGCCTTGGCCGAGCTCGATGAGTGGATTTCATCGACTGTAGTTTGAGAAACTCGGATAGGGAAGTCGATCGTCGCTTCGGTCGAGGCCGAATTCTCTTTGGCGATAGCCCTTAGCCTTGTAGAGTGTTAGTGTTTTGTTATTGTGCTATCAAGTCGTCGTTCGATCGAGGTCGAACTCTCCTCCTTGGCGAGGGCGCTTGACCCTTTAACTTAATTCGAGTGAGGTCGAGCTTTGTAGTGCTCTGATCCTTACGTTTGTTTGGGAGCGTAACCGTCGACCATGGTGGACGGGTCATATGTTGTACAGCCGAAGGGAGTAGGGGTACGCTGGATACGTGTTTGGCGACGTCCATCGTTCTGAAGGCGCACGGAACATCCTCTCGGCGTTCATGGGTCATTGCAACCGTTTCGCAGGTGAGACGTCGGTTGGCGACTGAAGAGCCGCTTCACGGAGCCTGTCATGACGACGCGTGTTTCTGTAGAACCGAATCGGTTTGCGGTTGGTCATGTAGTTAATGAAGGCTATTGGGGCTTGCGAAAGCCACTTGTGTTGCTTATAAATAAGGCTGCCCCATACATTTTTTATATTCTCATTGTTTGCCAGAGAGAGATTCTGAAGAAGCTTTTCTTCCTGCTAATTCACCTTCATCTTTGTTCTTCGATTGATATAACTTCCGTCTTTGTCCCTCAAACTTTGTTTCATTCTCGTTATTGACTCAACAATGGCAGGCAGTTCTTCCCAAAGCGTTCTTCCGACGGATCTTCCGGTTAACTTTCCGGTGACTGAAGGGCCATCTCCGGCAATGGGCGGTGCAGAACTGGTGGAGACTGATGAAGCTCCATCGGTTGACGAGATAGTATCTCTGCCCGGAGGTCCGATGACTGATTTCACCGCCGATGGCGGGGAGGATCAGGTGGATGAAGCCCCATTAATGGGGGAGATTGGGATGGCCCAACTACGGAAATAGGGGGTCATCCCCAGCTATGCTGACGTCGTTCTTGCTAGAAGCGAGGAGAGGGTCCACACCGACCGCAGGGGATACTGCGTTTTTTACGCCTATCCCTTCAAGTTGGGGTTTAAGCTCCCGCTCCCAATGCTGGTGGTTGATTTCTGTCGTTATTACGGGGTGTGCCCGGGCCAGCTTGCTCCTTCTCTTTATAAATTGCTAGCAATGTTTATCAAATACGCAGAACTGGCCGGTAGGGAGGTCACGCTGCAGCATGTGCTTAGTCTCTACGCTCCCCAGAGAGTTCGCGGTACCATGATTCAAGCGTGCCCTCGTGGGTCGAGGGGCCTGACTGCAAAACTGGATGACGAGGTCGACCCTCGCCCTTTTGAGCACTTCTTCTACATTAGGACTGAACATTTAGTGGCGTGCTCTACTGGGTTCCCAGAGGCTTGGAATCA